CTTTAAAATAATGTATAAAAATTATTTTATTGTTTTGAAGCTACTTTTAAAAAATGTCAAAATAATATATGCATTGTTAAGAGCACAAACCCCGCCCTTAAGGTGTGTTTCACAATAGGGAAACCGTTTTCCTTTAAACCTGTTTAATGACGGACAGCCCATTTCCCCGACATTAATGAGCTGAAATGTAGAAATCGTTTCTTTTCCACACCTTTACAAATAATTTGTTTTCCGCTTGTAATTGTCCTTAGATAGTTTCGAGTTTGTGGAAAACTGTTCTCTCCATCGTTCCAAAAAATTTTGTGATGTGTATTGGTTAACCAAATTGCAGTCTTTCGAGATTTTGTATTTAGCAAAGTAAAATCATATGGTGGTTCTATTAAAATACTATTATTCAAGTTTGGATCTTTTTCGAATACAATTCCAATTTCCTTTAAAATAAAATTATTATTATTATCAAAGAAACCTTGAACATCAATCGAAACAGTATCTTTCAACATTTTTCTAATGTTAAACAACTCGTTGTACTAGTCCGTTTAGTGGGTTATATTCAACTAAACGGTCTTGTATGAGGAGACAGTAAGCTTGGGTATTTTCATGACTTGGTGTCTTCAGTTCTATTGAAATTCTCACATCAATAGGACCAGTTTTCACTGATTCGTTTTGATATGAAAGATCAACCACAATAATAGGGGCCTTCAATTTAAATTCATTTGGGGACAAAAATGGTTGTGATTCACGATTATAGTAACTAGATTGAGATCTTGTATACATTTCATATAGGTGAGCATACTGATTCTTACTAAAATCAACATTCAGTTTATCATATGGTTATGAATTCAAATGAACTTTCAAGTTTGATAAATTATTTGTGATAACTTCTCCATTTAGTGTAAATCCAATTATTACAAATCTTGGTTTTTTCGCGGTTAGCCGACAATTTCTCATTGCAGCTGTGTTGACTCCCATACCCCTATTTTGGGTTAGCATATGAATACCAACTCCGGAATGCTATTGGTAGGCTTACACCACTTTTAATAATATCATATACATGTGTCGTTGGTAGATGATTTAATGTTTCCACTAAAAATTTGAGTTCTTGGCTGCGCGAGTTCCGTTTTTAAATTTTATTTTTCGTTAAATTGTTTTTTTAGAACTTTTGATGACGCAGCCCCACATTTGGCGCCAATTAATTTTATTCGTTGTTGTTGATTTAAAAAAATATATTTTTATTTTTAATTTTATTTTATTGGTGATTGCCCTTAATTCACAATCTCACTTATACATCAATACACTTTTAGTTTTAGTTATTATCACACCGCTCAATAAGTTCCCGGCCTAACAAGGAAAAACACTTTTTTTTTTGAAAATTTTGTTTTATTCATCAATATAGTTTCCATCTACGGCTATACACTCAGTCCAGCACTTCTCTAACCTTTCTACAGGGTTGCCCATATTCGACGGACCCATCTGACGACGCCATAACTTTTGACAGAGATGCCAGATCGCTTAATGACATACCGCGTTTGAAGCGTCAGTCCAAGCAGATTTTTACCATGGAACAATACACGCCACGCGAGCGCTCTGAAATAGTTGAAATTTACATTCAACAGAACAAGTCAATTGTGAAAACTCAACGTGATTTTAAAAAATTAAAAAATGTGAAAAGTGCGCCTTCTAAGAACACCATTAAGCGTTTATACGAAAAATTTACGACTGGTGAGGCTCTTTCTAATCCGAAGAGGCCAAATAAAAGTTGACCAAGGCGATCGGACGAGAATATCGCTGCCGTACGAGCCAGTGTTGAGATGTCCCCAAGAACATCCCAAAAACGCCGTTCTCAGCAGTTGGGCATGGCTCGGTCCACTTTACAACGGATTATTCGCGTTGATTTGCATTTGTTCCCGTACAAAATTCAATTGAAGCAAAGATTGTTGCCTACGGACAAGCCTCGTCGATTGGAATGGGCCCAAAGAGTCATCGAAATGGCCGAAGATGACGATCAATTTTGGAACAAAATTATCATGTCCGATGAAGCCCATTTCACATTGAATGGGACCGTAAATAAGCAAAATTGCCATATTTACGCCACTGAAAATCCTGAGAAGATTCAAGAAGTGCCTCTTCACGACGAAAAAGTCACAGTTTGGTGCGGCGTTAGTTCGAAAACGGTCATTGGGCCGTTTTTCTTCCAAAATGAAAATGGCCATGCTGTTACCATCAACCAGGAGCGTTATCGCGACATGATGACCAATTTTGTGATGCCAATTATTCGTCGAAAGCGTATGAGGCAGTTCTGGTTTCAACAAGACGGCGCTCCACCGCACACAAGTCGCATAACAATCGATTTTCTGAAGAAATTGTTTCCGGGCCGTTTGATGTCGAAAAGTGGTGATTTGGACTGGCCACCGCGTTCGCCCGATTTGACGCCGCCCGACTTCTTCTTGTGGGGATATTTGAAGTCAAAGGTTTACGTTAACAAGCCAAGGACCCTAGAAGAGCTCAAGGACAACATTCGTAAAGAAATAGCCGCTATTCCGGCCGAAATGTTGGCGAAAACGATGGAAAATGCTGCAAAAAGGGCACAATACGCCATCAACGCCAGAGGCGGCCATTTGAAAGATATCATATTAAAAAATTGATGTAAACAAATCTACTTGGAACAAATTAAATGATTAAGATTGCCAACCGCCAAATTTTTATTTTTTGTTTCTTTGATTTTTAAAAAAAAACATGGGTCCGTCGAATATGGGCAACCCTGTATCTTAAAATTTGCAAAATCGGTCGGAGTTACATGGAAAATTTTTCAGGCTATGTTCGTCATTTCCAGTTTAAAAGTTAGTTCATTTCTGCTTTGTTCTAACACATCGCCAAGATTCTTAGTTAGCATCAACACTAGTTCATGTTTACATTTTAACAAAACTTTTTTATAATCCTCAGCAAATCTCAACAAAATGGGGTTCCGTAGAAATTTCGTCTCCACTGCTCCATCCAGAATTTAATAGATTTTGACTTTGAAGAGTATCCAGAGATATACAAAATTTTAGGGTAGTACTCATATTGATGGACATTGACTTGACACATTGGACACGTTGTATTTAGTTGTTACCTAGTAGTATTTTGATGCTTACTTTCTCTTTAGTCTTGTTTTTGGGATGGTTACTTTGTGTATGGTACCTGTAAAGTACTTGCTTTTGGATGATTACTTTTTGTATAGCATCTGTAAAGTGCTTGGTTTTAGATGGTAACTAACTGTTAACAAGTGTTATGAGTTGTTATAGTTTCTGGTTAAGAATTATCAAAGCATAAAAAACAAATTTAACGTGAACTATAATTACCTGACCATCATTAAAGTCACATGCCCAAGACCTAAGGAGCAGGCCGTCTGATAAGATCATACATCTCAAGACCATTGATAAGGGATGATGTTCCGACCGTGCACCAACTCGCAAGTAGCCGACGTACCTCATTGAACAAAATACTTTCCCTTCATCTGTACTTGTAGTTTTAATTACAGTCAGAAAAAAATTTTGTAGTATCATTTAATATTATTTTATTTATTTTGTTATTGTAAACATATTTTATTTAATTCATAATTAAATATATATTATATATATTTTTATATATTTAATTTTCTGACTCCTCCTTCTGTAAGAAATATATGGGTTATTTACCTTCGTTCCAAACGTATATTTATACCCGTTACTCGTAGAGTAAAAGGGTATACTAGATTCGTCGGAAAGTATGTAACAGGCAGAAGGAAGCGTTTCCGACCCCATAAAGTATATATATTCTTGATCAGGATCACTAGCCGAGTCGATCTAGCCATGTCCGTCTGTCCGTCTGTCCGGATGAACGCTGAGATCTCGAAAACTATGAGAGCTAGGCTATTGAGATTTGGCGTACAGATTCCTGAGCTTCTTACGCAGCGCAAGTTTGTTTCAGTAGACTTCCACGCCCACTCTAACGCCCACAAACCGCCCAAAACTGTAACTCCTACATTTTTGATTCTAGATAGAAATTTTTAACTGAAATGTATTAGTCTTGTCAATACCTATCGATTGACCCAAAAAAAATTTTGCTACGCCCACTCTAACGCCCACAAACCTCCCAAGAAAAAAATTTATGACGTCAGAGCCATACAATGCGATATGTTTTTACGCGTGTATGTGTGTGTATGTAAATAGTTGCCGGCCGAACTTAGCGGCAAAGAAAAAAGCCCTGCCGGCGCTCAGAGAGAGCAAAGTGCGCGGCTAACTTATTCTATTGAATAATGAACCCTTTATCCATTTGTCCCATTGACGGGCAACTTTATTCTTTATTTAATCTTTATTTATCTCTTTCAATGAATATGTATTAGCTTAATAAATACCTATAGATTGTCCCAAAAAAACTTTTCCGTTTTTGTCCCAATGCTCTCAAACCAAAGTAGTTAGGACAAAGCCTTGACACTAGAGCCAGAAAACGACATACATACATACATATGTATATATGCATGTGTGTGGATGTAAAAAATTGCAAACTAATATCCGCGGCAAATAGAATTCTTTCAAACAAAGCTATTCAACCAAATATTTTGAAATACAGAATGTGCCTTAAAATTGTGTATGTTTAGCAAGCATACATAAATATAAATGTTTTTTGTCTATTTTATGTGTTGCTTTCTCATTCTTGGCGCTGGCTGAAACAAAAGCAGAGCCGAGAAATGAGAGCAAGGGAGAGAGAACAAAGTGCGCGGCTAACTTATCTTATCTGAGTAACCTTCGTTAAAACGCATATTTTCGCTTGGTTCCCATAGATAGATGTAAAATAATTCTTACAATTTAATGTTTCTCAGATGTTGGATTATTCTTAAACCATTCATTTGTTCAGTCAGAAACAAATATTATAGGATCATTTAATATTATTTTATTATTGTAAACATATTTAATTTAATTCATAATTAACCCTTTCGACCCCAACTTTTTTCCTGTAGAATTAAAAAATTTTTTTTTTCTCTATTCGTTTTTTATTGGCCTTAGAAGTATTTGAGAAAAATTTTTAAGGCGCCACGCCCACTATTTTTGGCGCTACCGGAAGTTGCTTGTGAGCAACCTTGGGCAGGGGTGGTAAACTTAAAGAAAAATCCTTAGGTGACAGTTAATTTCTTTTATTTTAAAAATTTAAGTATGGTAACTTATAAAACAGTTTTTATTGTTGTTGCAGCAAAGGTGGACCTTACATTTATTGCATTTCGACATTGGAGTACCTGTCTTGCACAATCTGCAACGTCCTTTTTCAGCAAATACCACCCAATGTTCCAATTTATCGTAACGCAGAGAAGTTGTAGGATCGGGCTGAAACCTATATTTTTTGGATTGATTCGAAGACACACTGCTTGATGGAGACCCCAAGGATATGACTGAGCTTTCCTTTTGTGCATTTGATGGCCGTCCTCTCTTTTTTTCGAACAAAGTAGAGTCAGTACATTGTAGCAGCTCATGTGCAACTTCCATTTGAAATTTTATAAGCGGCATATACTTTTGGTTCGGATTTATCATTTGAAAATGCTTTCTGTACAGTAGCCATGCATTTGTCATTGATGTTCCCAAGCACCAATAAAAAATTCTCATGTACCACTTTCTGGAACGGTGGTTGACTTTGTACAACTCCATGAGCATGTCCGCTAAATCGACTCCTCCCATACCCTTATTGTACGAAGCTACAATAGCAGGCCTTGCTACATCAATGTAAGCTTTATCTTTTGGACTCCATCGTTTGCATATCCCAACTGGTTGATGGTCTTCACACGAAGATAGAAGTTGAACTGACTTATTGTCAAACCATTTTACACATGCAAGATTTTTGTTAACTTCATATTTTGTATCAAAAGATCCTCTTCCACGTTTTTTCAATTCTGCATCTGAAAGAAGTTGGCAATTGCTTATGCGATTTTTGCGGATAGTTCCAGTTGCAAATATGCCCATTTCCTTCAATGCAATCAAAAGACTAACTGACGTAAACCAATTGTCAAAATAAAGCTTGAAAGGTTTGCCTTCGGGAAGCCCTTTTGCTAAATATAATACTACATCCGATGATATTCCCAATCCAAAACAAGGGCAGGTGCCTTCACCAACATACAGCGTAAAGTTGTAAACTAATCCAGATGTTCCAGCACGAGTAAACATTTTCAGACCCCATTTGTGAGGCTTAGCTGGATTGTATTGCTTATATGAGGATTGACCTGGAAACAAAATTTAAATTGAAGATATATTTTCTAGTAAAATTTAAATTTGAATACCTTTGTACGCAATGATTTGCTCATCAACGCTTTGATGCTCTTCTTGGGGTAGTTTACCGAAACTTTCTTTGAGAATGTCTAGTAAAGGGCGTATCTTGTACAGCTTATCATAATTCACATCTCCTTTTTTGGATTGTTTATTGTTATCGTTGAAATGTAAACATTGTTTGATTTTTTCAAACCTTCCTCGTGGCATTGAATCTGATATAGCAGTAAGCTTTAACTCTTTTGACCAAGCCATTTTCAGTTGCGGAACTTTTATTACTCCCAAGTATAACAAAATTCCAATATATCGCTTGATAAGATCTCCGGTGCATTGAAGCTCTATGCCGTGCTCTTGCAACCCATACAAATTCGTTTGATTTGTTATCAAGTCAATTACTTTGATATCAAAAAAGGTGCAGAAATATTCTACAGGTGTCATGACGCTACCGACTTGGAGTTTATCGTCTGCTTCCCAAATACTTTTTGGAGCTTCAAATGGCCTTGTTCTCCATTTTAATGTCTTGGGATCAACTTTTTCAAAGCAACTCTTAGCCACAGCACTAGGTTCCTGGTTACATTCTTCTTCGATAAAGTTGTCAATATATTCAATTTCTATTGATTCTCCTTTGTCCACGATATCTTTTAAATTCTTCTCCAGCACTGCAGAGATATCTTCCATTTCATCACCACTTTCTTCGTCAGTGGAGGCATCCCAATCGAAGTTGATAATCCTTTCAATGTCATCATTTGATAAACCTTTCTCTTTCGGTCTCATACTATGGTGTATATATATTTTGTATTCCAACGGCCCAAAGTTGCCCACAAGCAACTTTACAACTTTGAAAATTTGTCACCTCGTTATTATTGAAAATTAATTAAATTAAGTCTTAGCAAAGTTTTGCTTATTCATTGATTAACAATATTTCATGTATACTTTTAGCCTTTTTATTTATATTTTATGAGTAAATCAGTCACATTAAATATTCTTCAGAATTTCACAATAATTTTTTTTACGACGCACGTCTATTCTTTTGAAAACATTTTCGTCAAATGATGTGCAAATTCGATTTTTTTTGATCACATTATGAGTACACACATACAAGCACCGTTATGTCGAAGAATAAGCAGACAATAATAGAAGAAACGATTACCGTTAGCCGTTAAACATTTGAAATTGCTCACAGGCAACGCTGGGGTCGAATGGGTTAAATATATATTATATATATTTTTATTTAATTAATTTTCTGACTCCTCCCTCTGTAAGAATTATATGGGTTGTTAACCTTCGGTCCAAACGCATATTTTCGCTTGGTTCCCATAGATAGATGTAAAATAGTTCTGACAATGTAATCTTTCTCAGATGTTGAATTATTTTTAAAGCATTCATTCTTCCCATAATAATATTGTAATATATTTCGAAAGCATCATTAGTTAGCATAGGAGCGTCTTTCAGTTTCATTTCTGATTCAAGTTTATGATAGAGGTGTTGGGACCTGGTAAAATCGGTTTTTGTTGTCAACTATTTTTATAGTTCTAGTTTTCTAATTCTATTCTATTTGTATATTATTTGTATGAGTAAGGCATCATTGTCTAAGATTCTGAATAAGTTTAATAAACTCTTTAATTACAATACTTATAAGCTGGTTACTATATATTTAGTAGATGTATACAAGTTGTTTAGTATCTGGTTTCTATATGTTTAATAGATGTATACAAGTTGTTTACTAGATGTATACAAGTTGTTTACTAGATGTATACAAGTTGTTTACTAGCTGTTTAGTATCTGGTTACTATATATTTAGTAGATGTATACAAGTTTTTTAGTATCTGGTTACTATATATTTAGTAGATGTATACAAGTTGTTTAGTATCTGGTTTCTATATGTATAGTAGATGTATACAAGTTGTTTACTAGCTGTTTAGTATCTGGTTTCTATATGTTTAGTAGATGTATACAAGTTGTTTACTAGCTGTTTAGTATCTGGTTTATATATGTTTAATATTTGTTTACTTGATGTTTACTAATTATTATTAGCTGGTTACTAGTTGCTATTAACGTCTACGAGCTTTTATAGTCTTTTGTTAAGAATGATCAAAAATTCTTGATCACTAGACGACTTTCGATGTGAAGTAAAAACTTACACTCTGATTTTCAATGTATTTGCTATGTACGTAAGAAAGAATGCAAAGCCAAAATATCTCAAGATTGATATATAAATCTAGAGGAACATGTCCGATTATGTTGGGGGAAGATGTATATCTTGTGATTGTAAAACTAATTAAGAAATAAATTGTTCACAAGTTGTCTAAAAGCTGTGTAGAAGCTCTTTTGATAAACAATTTTTATTCATAATGACAGATATTAAGAATATATAATAATATCATCCACTTTAACTAGTATATTGTTAAAACAAAACAATTCCATTTTTCATGTTCTTTCATTTTATGTAGGTATAATAAATGTAATCTTAACTACGATAGCTAGCCCTACATCCCATAACTATAGTTATTAGCTACAATAAAATGTCTAGAAAGAACAAAATATATGAATGTCAAAAAACGATTTAAAACTAACTATAATTGGGAAAGTAATTGAAATCGCTCCGGCGTAATACAGTAAAAAACAAAAAACACTGTGATTATCCCATTTTCTATCACCATAACAAATGTGTATACTCACACCTAAATGACCAATTGTATCCTTTGTCCAAAATGTCTGTGACTTTCACATATAAATTTGTCACCGATAATTTAAATCCCATTAAGCAAACCACCCATTGCTAATCGTGCCATAACCCCAGAGTTAAGTTGGTTACCTACAATAAACACAGGTGGTGGTGTAAAGGATTGCTAAAATGCCTCGACGCAGGCGCAAAGGTCAAGGTAATGAAAAAAATGCAGGGAATATTATCCCTTCAAAAAAGAGGCCATAAAAAATATAATAAGGAAAGTATTTATTATTTGCCAACCATTTATAACTGTTACCAGCAACACAAATAGAAGTAATTGAAATCGCTCCGCCGTAATACAGTAAAAACAAAAAAACCATATCCTTTGTCCAAAATGTCTGTGACTTTCACTTATAAATTTGTCACCGATAATTTAAATCCCATTAAGCAAACCACCCATTGCTAACCATGCCATAACCCCAGAGTTAAGTTGGTTACCTACAATAAACACAGGTGGTGGTGTAAAGGATTGCTAAAATGTCTCGACGCAGGCGCATAGGTCAAGGTAATGGAAAAAATTCATGGAATATTATCCCTTCATAAAAAAGGTCATAAAAAATATAATAAGGAAAGTGTTTTTTATTTGCGAACCATTTATAACTGTTACCAACAACACAAATAGTTATTTTACAAGGGGTTCCGAAAATGCCTCGACGAAGGCGCGTTGGGACCTGGTAATATCTGTTTTTTGTACTTTTTATATATTTCTTTTATTTATTATTTTTTATTTTAATAATTATTTTATTTATTTATTTTTTTGTTTTCTAATTGCTTAATTTCCGCCGCAGCCGCATGCTGTCTCCGCTCCTCGGTCGGGAATAAGGCCATACCTGGGCGGACGCTCCTCCGCCTGGTGACGGGAAAGCTCGGGAACAATGGGTTCCGGAATAGGCCTTGGTACACTGCGATATACCAGTCCGCCTCTTCCTTCATCCTCTCGTGGGTCGCCATCCATGCTTCATAGTTTAGCGTGTTTTGCTCCTGGCGATCTACCAGCGCGAGCAACCTATCCTCGTTTACCGGACGATTCGATAGAACCCTCCGGAGCTGAAACGCAGTGGTCCTCAGCGCGTCTATTAGTGGGAGTTCCTCCCAATACTGTTGCTCTGCTTCTTCCTGCAGCGCTTCCGCCTGTTCGCGTGCCCATTCTTCTGTCGGGTAGGGCTCTCCATTCGCGGCCCACTCGCGCCTTTGCTCGCTCAGGCGAGCGCGCATTTCAGTGATGTCGCTAGGAATTTCGGTCATCCTTCTGCTGGTTCTGGTGTCCTGCCTGGGTTATCGAGCAGCAAACAGCTCTTTAAATATTGTTAGTGCTGGCAAGAAATTTATGACTATCACTTGTATTAGTTTTGAGAGTGTTATTCCACTTAAATTTAAAATTGTGTTTTTCCAGTCTTCCAAGGATTTTTTATTGTTTGTGCTTACTTTTGCACCTTCGCTGTGGACTTTTTCGGAACCCCTTGTAATATAACTATTTGTATTGTTGGTAACAGTTGTAAATGGTTCGAAAATAAAAAATACTTTTCTTATTATATTTTTTATGACCTTTTTTATGAAGGGATAATATTCCATAAATATTTTCCATTACCTTGCCCTATGCGCCTGCAACGAGGCATCTTAGCAATCCTTTACACCACCACCTGTGTTTATTGTAGGTAACCAACTTGACTCTGGGGTTATGGCATGGTTAGCAATAGGTGGTTTGCTTAATGGGATTTAAATTATCGGTGACAAATTTATAAGTGAAAGTCACAGACATTTTAGACAAAGGTTGTTTTTTTTGTTTTTACTGTATTACGGCGGAGCGATTTCAATTACTTCTATTTGTGTTGCTGGTAACAGTTATAAATGGTTGGCAAATAATAAATACTTTCCTTATTAAATTTTTTATGACCTCTTTTTTGAAGGGATAATATTCCCTGAATTTTGTCCATTACCTTGACCTTTGCGCCTGCGTCGAGGCATTTTAGCAATCCTTTACACCACCACCTGTGTTTATTGTAGGTAACCAACTTAACTCTGGGGTTATGGCACGGTTAGCAATGGGTGGTTTGCTTAATGGGATTTAAATTATCGGTGACAAATTTATAAGTGAAAGTCACAGACATTTTGGACAAAGGATACAATTGGTCATTTAGGTGTGAGTATACACATTTGTTATGGTGATAGAAAATGGGATAATCACAGAGTTTTTTGTTTTTTACTGTATTACGCCGGAGCGATTTCAATTACTTTCCCAATTATAGTTAGTTTTAAATCGTTTTTTGACATTCATATAATTTGTTCTTTCTAGACATTTTATTGTAGCTAATAACTATAGTTATGGGATGTAGGGCTAGCTATCGTAGTTAAGATTACATTTATTATACCTACATAAAATGAAAGAACATGAAAAATGGAATTGTTTTATCTTAACAATATACTAGTTAAAGTGGATGATATTATTATATATTCTTAATATCTGTCATAATGAATAAAAATTGTTTATTAAAACAGCTTCTACACAGCTTTTAGACAACTTGTGAACAATTTATTTCTTAATTAGTTTTACAATCACAGGATACATCTTCCCCCAACATAATCGGACATGTTCCTCTAAGATTTATATATCAATCTTGAGATATTTTGGCTTTGCATTCTTTCTTACGTACATAGCAAATACATTGAAAATCAGAGTGTAAGTTTTTACTTCACATCGAAAGTCTTCTAGTGATCAAGAATTTTTGATCATTCTTAACAAAAGACTATAAAAGCTCGTAGACGTTAATAGCAACTAGTTACCAGCTAATAATAATTAGTAAACATCAAGTAAACAGATATTAAACATATATAAACCAGATACTAAACAGCTAGTAAACAACTTGTATACATCTACATTAATATGCTAATTGTCCCAGAATCCGCGTTTCCCTACTACTCAAAACAGCCGACACATTTGAGCACCACTTTCTAAGTTTACATTTTCCCTTGACTAGAAGTTTTGATGCCTGATCCATAATGATCACTGCCTCTTCCTTGGACTTGGCTCCAGATATCAAATCAACCACATAAAAATCGCGACGAATGACCTCAGCCCCAAGAGGAAACGCTGTATGCTCGTCAGCTGACAACTGATGCACAGCTCGCACGGCCAGAAATGATGCTGGCTTCGTGCCATAAGTAACGGTGTCTAACTTAAACACCCGCAATTGGTCCTGAAGGGAATCCATCCACAAAATGCA